TGGCGGACCCACGTGAGGACCAACTGAGGCCGGAAGCGAGTTTCATGCAGTCTCCGTTTATTGGTGTTTCAGACTCATGCAGCATCCGGCATACAAAAAGGGAGAATTAGTTTAATGTATTCTTTTTTTTTTTTGGTAGACTTTTAGTTTTTTAGGGTTTTTTTTTCTTTTTTCTTTTCTTTTTTTTCAGAAAACAAAAAACCCGCTAACTCCAAACCGCGTTGTAGCTCGGTGTCTGCCTCCCTAGCGGAATGTCGCGTGCAACACACTTCCCTCCTCTTAGAAAATCATTATACGGCGCCCCGTCCCTCCTTCGCTCCTTGAGGCTGTAGCTTTGGTCCTATTTGGGGGTTCTTTCGTTACGAAGCACGTGAGTCACCCCAGTCTGCCTTGAAGACACTTGCCGACCGGGTTTAAAAGCCCAGGTGGGGCAGGTCAGTAAATTAGGGCCGACCGGGGCGGGGCAATAGCTGCCCCTCCCTCCTCCCGGGTGTTTGAACTGCGCTCACCTCGCCTGCACAAGTCCCCAGGGGACCCCCAGCCGGCCAGCTCTGCGACCCCGGGGCGCCCTGGAGGCATCCGGACCTGGGTCGTCCCAGCAGAGAACAGCCCTGGGCTACAGGGTCCTCTCCCGGCATTGCTGCCCTTTCCCAGCCTGCTCTAAGTGCTGGAGTTTTTGCAGAATAATCAGTGACAGCAGAAAAACCAGGAGAGGATCCTTAGGGGAGGAAAGGATGCTGAGGGGAGATGAGGCAGGAAGAGGAACAGGGAAGAGGGTGTGGAGAGGGACGGAGAGATGATACAGGAGAGGAGGAATAAAGGAATGGGGGAAGATGGCAAGACAATGAAAGTCGGGGGTGGAGACCAGGTTTGAAGTGCAGGTAATTTGGGAGGTTTGGAGAAGTGCAAGATGGGAGGAATGCAGGGAGGCTGAGAGTTTGGGAGATGTCGAGGGAGGTTTCCAGAAGTGCAAGGGACAGAGAGGCTGAGAGGCTGGACTGGCTGCAGGCAGAAGTGCAGGGAGACGGGAAACAGTGCAGGGAGAAGAGAGGCCTACGGTTGGCAGAGGAGCCTGGCAAGATGCAGGACCAGGACAGAAGCTGTAAACAAGGCTGCTCAGGCTCCCTTGGTCCCTATGGGTGCGGGCCTGGGCCATCGATTGGGCTCCCGGCCGGGGAGCAGGGGAGGATGGGCCCAAGACAGCTCCCAACAGGAAGAAAAGTCTTGGAATGCAGGGCAGAGCCCCTCACTTATACACTGTGGAGGAGGAGAGGGAGGGACAGACAGAGAAAGAGGCAGTGGGTGGGGTGGGGTGGGGGAGACAAGGAGAGACAAAGGACAAGTAGGGGAGACAGACAGGAGAGAGCAGGGTCAGGGGGTTAGTAAAGCTGCCCTTGCCAACCCTTCCATGCCTCCCAGCCTGTCCCAGACCCCCACTCACCGCCTAAGTTGATGACACAGGAGGCGATGATGATGAGGACCCCCCCGACCAGCGCCACGATGCTTAAGAGCTTCGCCACTCGACCCAGACGCTGGGCCCCATCCACATCCCCCTGCTGCAGACTGTTCCGGGACTGAGATTAGGGTGAGGAGTGGGACATCATGGCCAGGTCAAGAGAAGCCAGCTCAGCACGGATCAGGTGAGAGAGTCATCCAGAGGAGACAGGCCAGCCCGTGGTTAGGGAGGAAGGAGGGAAGGAGAGACAGAGGGAGGAGGGCATAGGTCAGCAAGGTTGTGCGAAACCTGTCTGGCCATCCCTCCCACCTGAAGGGGAGGGGCAGTAGTGGCTCAGAGGGTGAAGCCCGGTACTTTGGAAGCGAGATCCATGCAGAGAGGGAGAGCCAGGCTGTTCCTGGGGCTTTGTCCCAGTACAGGTCGTGGGGAACCACAGCAGGCTGGGGCCAGGGTCTCGGGGGGCTCACCATAACGGCATAAGCGAAGGCCACAATGTTGACAGGCCACATGGGGCAGAAGCAGGACAGGATGGCGAGGATGATGTAGTCGCGAGGTTTCTGGGTGCCTTCACCCCCCTCTACCCCAGATCCTGCTAGCTGGGAGCTGGGGTGGCGGCTCAGGCTACCTCGGGGAGATCCTGGATGCCCACTGTGAGCCCTTCCTACTCGGTCCTCCTCAACCAGCTGCTGCAGCACGCGGGGAGGAGCCCCATTGGCTGGGGGGGCTTTTGTTGAGGGTGATACATGAGGCTGGGGGGCGGGACCCTCGTCCCCATCGCCAGCCTGCAGGGGAACGACTGCCCCATTCTCTTGTTTGTCCTCCACACTCTCAGTCAAGAACTCAGGGGTGGGGTCCTCCTGGGTAGGGGGCTCCGGCTGCAGGGCTGGCTTGGGAGTGGGCTGAGAACCTGACTGGAGGTCCCGCTGGGGTGTGGGCTGTGAGGCTGGCTCACGCAGGCCCTCAGATTCCAGGTCCGACCCCTGGTCTGCAGTGGCCTCTTTGCTCATTTCTGGCTTGGAGGCTGGCTCTTGGCATACTTCTTTGGGCCTGGAGTTGGCCTGTGGTTCCCCTCCTGGGCTTGAGCTAAGGTCTTTGGCCTGGGCTGTGTCTGGGGCCCCTGTTGGGGTCTCTGTGTTTTCTGGAGCTGGCCCAGCCTTGGGCTCTGAGTCCACAGGGTCCACAGTGATGTCTGGACCTGGCTGCAGGGCCTCGGGCTCATCCGGGACCCCAGCTGGGACCTGGAGAGGGCCAGTTCCAGCCTCAGAATGGCCAGGCCTTTCGCCCTGGGTCTGGGGACCCTCCTCTACCCGCTTTATCTCAGAGACTTCAGAGCTGCTGGCTGCCATCTTGTGATGGGAGAGAGAAGAGGGCCTCTGTGGGGAGGACGCAGAGACAGCAGCAAATCCTGGAAGAGGAGGAGATGAGCTTGGTGTGAGGAGGAAAGAGGCAGCTCTCAGCACTGCAGCCCAAGAGGGTTGTGCTCCTGTCTCGGGGCCAGCCTTGGGCTGCCTCTGGGGAGAGGAAGAAAAGTTGGGGTTTCCTTTGCCTTGGGGTGGGACGTCTCTGGGGAGGAGTGCTCTGCTCAAATTCTTCTGCTTGGAGAGCCCTGGGCAGGTTAACCCTTTGTAAGCAGGCCCCTCCCCATGGTCTTTCCTGGGCACCCCAACAAGATCCAGCCTCCCAGGTTCCAGCAGATGCCCCAGCACCTCAACATCAAGCTGTGCAGACACCCATACACTCCGACAGGCAGACGGGGCAGAGGGCCCGCACTCACGTTCCACTCCCGCGTCCTCCCCTACCTGGGCGCCAGTGGGTGCGGTTTTCTTGTTGCGTGTTTGGGGCGCAGATGCCCCCGCTCCTCCCTGAGGGTCCCGGGCATCTCCTCTGAGCCCCTTCTCAGCCCTCTCCCAGGGATTCCCTTGTCCCCGGGGTGCCCCCGGCGCCTCCTTCCTCTGGCTTGGCGCGCCTTGCACCACCAGCCAAGAGGCCATGCGCCCTATTCCTGTGCGGTGCAGCCCTCCCCGGCCTCTGCAGTCTGTCCACTCCTACCCGCAGCCTCCGTCCATCCGTCTCACC